ACCCCACATTGCTGATGATTTGTTGCATTCCACCTGTACATATCCTCAAAGAGAAATATTACATATATATAACTTCTTGACTTTTTCCCATTGCAGACAGCTACATCGTTTCGATGGAGTGCTTTTGCCAATGACATCAATAGCATCTGCTTAACAAGGACTGATGAGACCGCGACGTTTTAAATTGGTCCCGAATTTATTTGCCTAAGCAAAGGCCGCTGGATAATATTGAGTCTGGAAAGTCTTAATAGCCTGATGGACAATACAAGATGTATACATATATGTGGAGATAAAATCTGCATCTATTTAATGGTGTTTGATAATGTTGGCTTCTGCCGTTCTACTCTTTACCGAGTCTTCGTGACCTCGCTGATAGAGCAGCTCCCATCCCCGTGATGTCGACCTATCGCTATTACATTGGGAGCTAGGACGGGTCTCGTGAGTCATATGCAGGCAGACGAAATTGTATGAGTCTGTTTTTTTTTATTTGGCAGGTGGTGGAGGGACGAAAGAGGAGACGTTAACGTGGGAATTTACCCCACCATCCTCAGCCCCCTATCGGGGTAGGAAGCGCTGCAGGTGGCCACACGAGACCGCGTAGCTCATTGCAGACAGCACACACACACACATTGATGCTCTCACACTTTTGCACGCGCATTTGTTAAGTGCTGTGTTGTTGCGATGTTGCCTCGTGGCATCCCAAGTGGGACTGAGCCTCCCCCTCGGTCGTTGAGTCAACCCAAAGGCAGCACCAAGAACGGCGGAGCAACACAAAACATCTTGGACTCGTTCAGCAGCAACAGCAGCAGCAGACGTTATCGTTTCGATGTGACGGCCATTGTGCCACTGACTATCTTTGGCCATCGTAAGTCTCCGTCTACCTCGGTTCCTTTTCCCGTCCACGTTGCCAAACATCAACAGCTTATAACAACAAGGTTTTTTTTTATTTCCCGTCACGCCTGTAGCCACGTGTCCAACATACTTTCGATTACATCTTTCCACGACGGGGCTACGGCTACAAGTCGAGCCTCTTGAAGCACGCTCTTGCAGTACACTTTCTTCACCGGTGCTTCTTGTTGTCCATCAGCCAACGTGTTCATGATCAGACGTATCCGGAACGCAGCGAGCTAAAAACAAACCCTGTGGTCTTTATCCTGTCTGCTGTAATGATCACCCAAGTTCCACGTGCATGCACTTTTCCTTCACGAGCCCGACTCTGTGTTTCTCCACGAAATACGACTACATCCGGGCAGATGGGGCAGCTGATAAATGCTGTTTGTGAGTAGCGTTGCAGGCTTGAGAAGACCTACCTACAACGGCCATCGTCAACGCACCGGCTTATACACTGGCACGTGTATAATATAGCGCTGCGGACGTGTTTTTGCTGCTGCTGCTGTTGTTGCGGTAATCGCACCGTGCATGCAATTCAGAGGTTTGCCGGTCCGATTCGATCTCGCGGCAGGCACCGCGGTTGAAACAATGGGAAAGGATTTTAAATCCCAGCAGTGTAAACGATTTTACATCGCGGGCAGCCGGATGGCAGGTGGCACGTGTCGGTGTATAGTGTGGACACTCGCAAAGTTGTCCAACAAGTCCGGCCGGCGTAGAAGAGTCGGCCAAAATGCCCTCTAGAGCAGCCCTCTTGAGCTCCCGATAGTGGAGGCAATTGCAAAGAAACCGCACCTTTATCCACCATTTACTCAACACATTTACTCAATTATACTGCCCTCCGATTACCGCGGTTGGCTACGTAAGGTGAGAAATAAGTTATACATGCATAACATGATGAGTATATACCAGGCAACGTTTCTGACAATTGCCCTTCTTTAGCGGGCATAAATAATGTGCATCTGTATCTGTGCAAACTCTAATTGGCGGCCTAGGAGAGTAGGCTCAACAATCGGGTAACTTTCATTGCGTGTCTACTTTTTAGTCTCTCTAATTGCCAACAACAAACAGACCGGCATACTTTTCTCGCCTTGCAAATGACAAGCACGTAATGCGATGTGAAGATGGGTTATTGCCTGAAACGTCGCCTCATGTAGTTCTTTCTCATGGCACAGCGTTATTGATGAATGCGTTGAGATTGTTCTTGTCACTTGTGCCTGCGCAACGCAGTGTCGCCAAACAGCAGATTTATAAAGCATCGCTAATGGGCGGTGATGCTGACGACCGCTGGTGTAAATGTGTTTGTATCTTCAGTCTGTCTTTTCGAGGCTCCTAATTTAAGCACGGGTTCAGTGCGCGCAAACATCGGTGTCCGGTGGGTGGTCTGATGGTTCTGTTCTCAATTACACTGGTCAACACACTTTTTCTGGCATAAGGTATTCCAACGGTTTTAAGGTAATTTTGGGGTGCTGATTCCAAATCTGGCATCAGTTTTTGTCTATCACATCAGGTTTTTTAGATATCAAATATTGCATTTTCAATAAAAACTGCAGAAGAAAAATATTAAATAAATGTGGATATCTACATACAATGATATTATAAACACACTATCCAAAAAATACAGCACCATATTTAACACTAAAGCAGTCACTGACTCGCAACAATTTTGAGTAAAATCAATGAAAATGGGGTATGCCGATAGCATAAAAATGAAATGTGATAGAGCAAATCTGAGACCAGATTTGGAATCAGCACCCTGAAATTAGTCTAAAACAGCTGCAAAAGTTCCATGCCATAAAAAAATGTTTTTTTTTGTTGACCAGTGAATTATCGGTGAGCACAGACGCACCCATCACACATTCCCACTTCAACCCGTGCTGGGAAAAGACAACACGACTGCAATATTTCCAACAACGCTTATTGCCGCAATTGTTTTTTTTTAAACGCAAGACGGCCGCAACGAGCGCTCAACTCAAATCGTTCCACTTGGCGTTGCCGTTTGCGCAACGCTGCGTTCATTGCGCCACGCCGCGTATAATGTGTGTGTGGGGTGGGGGGGGAAGATGCCAGGAAAATGCAGCGAAGAGCATGCGTGTACTTGCCTGCCATTGTGCACCGCGGAATTACATGCGGAGAAGCGCTTCAATATTAATGCTCGGGCAAATGAATGCGTCAGATTTGGATGATTCACGTCTTAAGTGGCTGCACGAGTGGCTGTGGCCATCGGCTATTACTTGCATAGGTCTCTGGAGCACTGCCCGTGCCCGCATGAATTCATTTGACCCGATGAAATAACCGAGGTCACCAAACTTGTGCTCCCCATTATCTACATTAATTCCGATCATCATCATCATCATCGTCAGCTATGATGTATACACTGTTGGATGAAGACACATTAAGACTTCCTGCACACAAGCTCCATCTCCATGGTGGCCGTGCTTCGAAGTTTTTTCTCGCATTTAGCTGCCACTCCGTCAGGAGTCTTCGACTGCCGTTCATCATTCCTTCCCAACACCAAATGACTTTCGTGACAGACAATTTGATGTCTCTTAACACGCGTGTGTTCCTTGATCCACGTGTTCCTCGTTCGCGCACCTCCCATTCGCTGCGTACAGGTGCATTTTGTTTCTGAGTGCAATTGCATGTGTCACCATCAGACCACGCACACGCTATGAACCAGATTCTGGAAAAGACTAATGCATTTCAAAGACTTTGTAAATTAGAAAAATAAAACATTGATTTAATATACCATGATACTGTTCCTAAATAAAAGAAAAAGAAGTAGTCTTGTTAATAAGGTTGGAAATAAATATCTGACAAAAAGGGATTTTTTTGCACAAGCTTAAATAACACACTGCAAAGGTGTGAAGGAATACATCACAACACGTTTCATTGCTCATGGTGTCCTAGGAACACACGTGTTTGAAAGGAAGACGGCAAAGGATATGTTCCAAACTTATTCAACAATAAATGTTGTTCTCCCCAATCGGAATGATTTGTTATTGTTGTTGAGATTCGCGATGTTTCGACGACTCCCAGAACGTACTTTAAAAACTCAACACTGTACGCCTGCTCGCAGTGTCAAAACGATTTTCACGTGAAAAGAAACAAAAAACACACATCTTAGCCGGAGACGCATTTAAACGAACAACCATTAAAAATAACAGATTTTAGTCGTATGAGCAAGCTTTGACTGATGTCGTTTGTGTTTCACTTTCTTCCCGAGCCTTGCGCAAAAAGAGGCAAATCGCTTATCAGCAGCACTTGGGTTTCTGCTCGGTTGCCCTGCACGGCACTCCGATGCGTCTTGCGCTGCGCCTCGATCTGCTCGAGGTCCGACGTTTCGCTGCACCACCACCCCTGTGGTCTTCGTTCGGCCTCTGCTCTCTCTACAAGGGTGCCGGCGCGCTGAGCGGTGTCTGGGGGGGGGGGGATGGGAAGAGATTCCTCGCTCGCTGCTTCCGCAGACGATACTCAGTGAGCGATGGGAAGAGGCCCCCTAAATGTATGTGCGTGTACATATGTTGCGAACTTCTTTCGCGCCGTACGTAGCCAACCATGCTAATCAGAGGTGCGGGAAAACGTCTGTGCTAAAATGGCGTTAAGAAACGCAGTGTGAATGTTGTTGACTTCTTTCGCGCCGTACATAGCCAACGGTGCTAATTGAAGCGCAGTGTCCCCATGCAGAGTGCAGGGCGTGAGTTGGAGCTGCTGCTTCCATGAGCGAGTGGTACTTGTGTTTTGGGACACAGTTTGTACCGCATCGCGCGATAATTGACTGACATATTCATTAGCAACGGCCGTGGTTCAAACCACCGCTGGATGAAGACCTCCCCAAGACTTAGTCATCTCTCACGATCGGACGACGTGATGGTGATCCACCCAGCACCTGCATACGATTTTATTTTATCGCTCTATCAACCTTACTGGGTGCCTCTTGGAAACGCTCAATTCCATGATTTGGCGCTCCGTCATTATTCTTGACCATCTGCCATTACGCCTTCAAGTGACATGTCCTGCCCAGCTCTGTACATTCCTAACAGAGGGAAAACCCTCAGGAGGGCCTTTAAAACAGGACAGCTGTTTCTTGCAATTATGACCCACTCTCGAAGACATGGTTATAATAGATGGTTTTATTTTAAATTGTTTAAACGATAACACATATTTTATTGATAAAAAATAATACCGCGTATAAAATGTGTGTCGCGTAGATGAGTTTTTCTTCCAGAACTAACTCTTTATTTTTTTTGTATCGGTCACAACTGCTAATCTGGGTTACAGAGCCACCTTGTGGTAGCTGGAAATCGACATTCTGCGCTGTGTTTTGACCGTTTAACAGAAGAAAAATACAAGGCGATGAACAATGAATGATCATGAACACGTTGGCTGAACAATACATACTTTTTTTTCATCCTTATTAGTCCATATTTTTCAATTCGCCCTTTGTGAAAATGACAATTGAAGTCGTGGAATTTGTAAATACCCAGGAAATATTGCCCTCTGATTGAAGGGTATCCTTGAAAATGAATTGCCTTCATTGTGACCACCTAAGGGGAGATGATCCGATATAAAAAAAAATATCGTAAGTGGATTCGCATCGTGCCGTGTGTTGTTCAAGCACGATGTCCGACGTTTCGCTGCACATGCCGAGAGCTTTTTTTGAGAGATGTAATTGAATTCGCTCCGCGTAAGTTCACGGCATCACGCTGAACAACACACACACTTGGATTGAGTTCGTTCAGTGTAAATCCACGGCATCACGCTGAACAAGATACACGCTTGGGTTGAGTTCACTCTAAGTTCACGGCATCACGCTGAACAAGATACACAAGCTGACGAAACGCCAGGCCTGCTATGCAGCACAACCACGACAATTGACGCAGCGTATCAATGCGGTTGTTTGTTGTTGTAATGCAGTCTTTCTGTGTGGGTTATCAATCTTAATTTGAAGCTTTCGTGACTGCAGGAATCCACACTCTTTGGTTCTTTCGGTAAAGTCACGTAGGTATAAAATAAAATAAATCACGACGTTTCGGGCTCAACACACCTGATGACGGACGCTTGTGTTGCGCCCGAAACGTCGTGATTTATTTTAATTTTATACCTACGCGACTTTACCGAAAGAACCAAAAAGTGTGGGTTATCAAGTTTTAACAGGACACTCCTCTATAATTGTCATGCATTGCGATCATGATTTTTGTAAGTTTGTTTTTGTTTGAACGCGTTCATCCGCTTCATACGTAGCTGTCTAAAACGAATGCGCCTGATCCCACCGGATCACAGAAGCTATGCAGCGGTGGAAGCCGGATCATGGTTGGATGATGGGCCACCACCATCACCACCACGTGTAACACAGGTGCTATAGGCTGCTGCGGGGCTACGTTGTCGGCAGAGGAGAGTACGGCAACATACATTGTTGCATTGTACCGTGCTCCAACTACTACTATGCTCTCTTATATAAATGTTGAACTTCTTTCGGACCATGCAAAGCTAACGGTGCTAATCGGAGGTGCCTTAATCTACCCACACTGACCAGCGTGGTGAAGTATGATCAAATAATCCCGACAATGAGCGCAACCCTCATCCAGCAGTGGACCGACTAAAGGACTATATATGGACCATATCTTCTAGATTATAAGACACATCGTCTGCCCCTGTAGTTTAAAGCAAAACGCTGACGTGCGTCTTATAATCCAGTTTATTTGTGTGTGTGTGACCAGATTTGTAAAACTAGATTCAACCTGGGCACAAGTAGATGCATGTTACTTTCCGGAGTGTCTTATAATACAGAGAATGTGGTTCGTGTACAAGCCGGCTTCATTATGCATATCGAGCTTTGCTTAATGGTCACCATAAGCCATCATCAATCCACTGCTGGATGAGTGCCTCCCCAAGCCAAAGTTCAAAGTTCATTTATTAGGTATAGCCCTGGGAGCCATTCGGCTCTTGAATCGGGTGCAACCGCAACAAACAAAAAAACATGAACAAGAAAACATCTTAAAGTGACTATGTCATTGGCATTTGTCACAATCCTGCCATGTCATGCAGGTAAATGGAGTAAAAGCAAATCCAACCATGACTCCTTTTGTGTCTCGACATAAAAAGTGAGAGTTTAGTCACATCGGTCTATTGGCTTTCCAGATCAACATTAACCGGCAGCATTTATTCAAGCAAGCAAACTCTCCAAACCGGTTCCGAACACCTTTTGGGTCTCATCAGCAGAGTCAGGCTTTCTAAACAAATGGCTGCTCGCTTACTGGATGCCATCGGCAAGAGCACTCAATCTAAACTATGGGAATCTGTAACAAAATAAAATAAGTGATATTTAAAAAAGACTTTTTGTTAAAACACGCTTTAATGAAATGTACCGTACGAGTAATGGCAGAACTCCACGACTCCAGGAAGTGGCCCCGTGGTGATTTACAGCCAACGTCAGTTGAGCGTCGACAATTAGACCAAAGCCGAAACATAACATATAAAAAAGATTGTTTAAAAATGTTTATTTTTATTTTTAATGATAGAATATCGTATTGTCATCAGTATGACATACGTATACCTAGTTTGCAGTCGATACGACATTGGAAAGTGGGTTAAAATTGCGTTACAAGATTTGAGGATACGACAACAACAGACAGAGTGAGTTAATAAAAAGCGTGTAAAAGAATGTTTTAAAATATATGTTTTTTTATTTTTAATGATAAAATATCGTATTGTCATCAGTATGACATACGTATACCAAGTTTTCAGTCGATACCACATTGGGAAGTGGGTAAAAATGTAGTTACAAGCTTTGAGGATACGACAACAGACAGAGTGAGTTAAATAAAAGCGTGTGATAATAAAAATAAACAAAAACTACGATATTGCATACAAACTCATGTTGCCGTGTTGTGAAGCATTGTGGGTGACGTTGAGTATATTTCCCAGGATGGATGGGGGGGGGTGGTAGGGGGGGGGGGTCTATGTTTCTGAACATCCCCTGCGATTCCTCGGGGTTGCATTTTCATCCACGTGAGGTCAGGGGACCGGATCCGGGCAGAGGGCCCAGCCACTCCCCGTTGAGGCCGGGAACCGGTGAGCCGGTCCCCAGGGGCCTCGCGGTGTCCTGGTGCCGGGCGCGAGCCTGAGCCAGCGGCTCCAGGAGCAGGGGCACGGCCGCGATCAGGTAGCACGTGCCCGCCAGGAAGAAGGACGAGTCGTACGTGTGCGTGATGTCGTACAGCCAGCCTGCACCACGGCGGGGAGAGGGCAGAGTCACGAGAGGGCCACAGATGGATTTTGGTATCTTGGCTCCTGGAACAGCCGGAGCAGAGATGACCCCTGCCCCCTTCTCGGGCCCCACCTACCCAAAGACAAAGACCCCCCCCCCCTCGTATAGCCCGAACAGACTGTTGGGACAAGTGCTTTTAGCGAACACCTATGAAGGCCGGCACGGCAGACGATGGGGTGGTGGCCAGCATCACGCCCGGCTGCCTTTTTCTCCCCAGTGGCGATGTTTATACATGGCACGAGTTACTAATTTGTGGCTGAGTCGAACTAGGGGAGGCCCAGGACTGGGACCGGTTCAGATAATCGTCACCGGTGTTGGCCGTGAGTGAGAATCGAACTGGGGTTCGTAGCGCAGTGCGCTCATCGCTGTCCTACCGTGGCACGTCCAGGCACACGGTGGCGAGTGGTGGATTTAGCCATAAACGAAGTGAGCAAAAGTTCAGAGCCCCCAAGAAATTCCAGTGGCATAGAATTCAAGACAAAATAGGCCGCGTAAAATATCAGCTCAAGTCCATAAACACAACAAGCGGAATGACGTGTAATAAAAAAAATCTCATCTTTATGTTCCATAATAGAGGTTTTTTAGGTGAGATCGCGTCAATATATAAATGTGTCGTTAAATCCGCCACCGCCCGACACAGCCAATTAGTAAGGTTTGTCACGTAAACAGAACGTGCCAATTCGTTACTAGTTCAGCACAACGTTGTGTTGGAGAGCAAATCCACAACATTTACAGTCTGAGTATGGCGTTTCTCTAGTAATTACAACTCGCATCATCAGGCGACAGCCAGATTTGGTTGCGAAAGCCCAAGTGTTAAACTGACGAACATCCCTATGTTGTTTGCATCTCTCTTCTCTCATCTCACCACATCTCTGTGTTTGACTATATTTCTTTTATCTCACTACATCATTACCTCTTGTTACTCACCCTTATGTCATCTCACGGGGATTGTATACGTTGAAAGGGGGGTTCCGCCAAAAATATTTACTGCTCAGCAGCCCCCCCAGGTGGGCTAGCACCACTATTGCAGACGCGCGCACACAAAGTCCCAAACGGTTGCTACCGGTACACACTGCAGGCCTATTGTTTTTATTAAAATTATAATATGATCAGATATCACTACTTTCCTTTAAAACAAATCTAAATATATTCTTTAAAATCATGTGTATATATTAAAATATGTATATATACTATTTGGTTCATTTGGTAAAGTCACGTAGAAATAAATTAAATAATAGAATACGACGTTTCGATTGCAACACAAGCAACCATCATCAAGTAGAAATGAATGAGAAAACAAACATAGTAAACTTGGAAATACAATGCAATACAACACAGAGAGTCGGCCAACACAACAGTCAACACCCCACCTGGTTGATTACGTTCTTACAAAGATTGCTAAATTTGAGGGAGAGACAAAACATAGACACGGAGACACACAGACAGACACACAAGCAGAGAGAGACTCACACAGAGACAGAGACACACATATATATATAATTTTAATATATTACAAAATATCTCAAATATATTTTAAATTTTTTAGTTTTTACATGGGAGATCTTGTGAAAGTTTTGGGCCCTGGAAAAATGTTATATTTGCTCCCCTGCATACATTGGGCCCGGCCTCCGGGCACAGCCGTTAATTCTCTAGCCCAATTCGTCCTCAAGGCGTATCATGTTTGAAGGTTCACACTGTACGTCGGCTCGTGTTTTGGGTTCGGGCGAATGGTTTTTCAGTGGGCGTGCGAAGACAGTGCACAGCGGTGCCTTGCGAGACGCGATGCTTGTGGCCTCAGCCACAACAAAGTTTGCCGGTTTGAGGACCAAAAAAATAAAAACCCGTAAACTGCGCGCCGAAGTAATATGAGATCATCCGCAGCGCCACTGTCTAAGGTTAAACAAACCCCGAGAGGACGACCACTCATCGCTACACCATCCACGGTGGAGATGGAGAGTGATGACATCGGCTCAAGTGCACGAACAAGAGTGGATTGTGGCATTGCGGGCCCAACGTGTAGTGGCGACCGCGTGGGGAGGCTGTCATCCAGTGGTGGATTGACCACGGCTGATGATGGTGATGACCATAGGGACGAGAGGTGGCTGGACACAGGGAAGTTGCGGAGAGTAAAGCAGACGTCTCCGTGTTCCCCGCGCAGAAGGCTTGAGGGCTCCGAGTTGATCAGCAACGTTCCTCTGTTCGTGTCGAGGTTGGTGGGTGAGCCAAGGAAGATGGCTTCAGGGAGTAGTCCGGTGAATATCTGAAATGCTGGCAGTGAATGATCGCAGAGAGCAGTGGCCTACTACATTTGCCAAGGGTGGTGAAAATAAATCATTTGTTGTAGTAATAGCCGTCCGTGCGTTTTACCCAGGACAATTCCACCAAGTCTCAAGCCTCTTTGGCGGGAGGGCCCTGCGGTGAATATGTTTTGCTAAATTCCGTCAATGGGCATTTGACGTGAAATTAAAACCGTCGTGCAGTACTCGGAGAAACCCCACCTCGTATATGAGGGGCTAATACTGAAATCCCTGCGCAGATGGATTCACAAATCCATTGTCGAGTATTCAACTCTGGCACTCGTTGAAGTTCGAGGTCAGGACTTCCGAGACAACTGAAATCTACAAATCTCGACTAAAAAACGAATCTGTTTAAAAATGGCTTTTGCTCTTTAGTTATTTTCAAACGTACTGCTCCACCTCTGCTTTCCTCGGCCGATGTTTAACGATTTCCGCCTTTCCATCCGTAGCGCCCTGAGAACGATTGTTTAAGGGCGCTTTATAAATCATGATTATTTGTTATACCGTTGCCACTTTTCAGCCCGAGCCTATACAACGCCCATTATTCCCAGGCAGTCTCCCATCCAGTACGAACCAGACTCGAGCACGCATAGCTTCTGAGATCCGACAAATTTTGGGCACATTCACGGCGATTCGGTCTTTGGCAAACGTCTGTAAGACGTGAATGTCAAAACAGATGTGGGCCAAACGGGCCAAGGTGATACGCCTGCTGCACAGGTGACGTCGCATCAGCGGTGTCGTGTGACATCGCTGACGCACTAAAAAAAAACAAAGACAAAGATCCCCCGTATAGCCTTAACAGAACGTTGGAGCAAGTGCTGTTCGCGAGGAGCACCTATGAAGGCCGCCACGGTGCACGAGGAGGGTGGCTGGCCAGCACAGCGCCCGACCGCCTTTGTGACGTCGCATCAGCGGTGCCGTGTGACGTCACTCACTCACGGACACACGGGGCCAGTGACGTGGCTATCGAGTGTGCAGGTGGGGAAACTGCACCGGGGCCCACAAGCTGGAAAGGTCCCGGCGCCGGGGGCTTACAGAGAGTAGGGGGGGGATTTAACAGGGGGGGGGAGGGGGTAAATTTAATCTGTTGCACCGAGAGCCCATGCCGAAACGCCGCCCGACATGCCACTGCGTTGCGGCGTTGCCTGTCCCATTGCAACTTTTAAGCTCAAGATCTCCGATCGTTGTTTTACCCGGCTGCAGGCCATGGAGTTGACGCTGACAGCCACGAAGTTCATCTCGGTTATTCACGGTGGGCGATGACCGCTACTTTATGTCGGGTGGAACAGGCGTCTGCTCTGACGCTCGAACAGACTCATCAAGCAGTGAACCGGCGTGGCTGGGGAAATAAGAGCCGTCAATCACGCGTTCGTTCACCTCTACGACAGTGCTGCTGCTGTTGCATAACACTGCCAATCAATGTGCAGAGGCTGCGCCTGGCGTTTGACTCTGCGTTCCCTCTAATCATTGGATACTTTCGTCTTCAGGAGCCTTATGAAATGTGTGTCGTAAGTTTTACCTTCACTCTGCTGTCGCTGTCATCGAATGAAGGGGCAATTTTGTTCTTGTCAAGAGCAGTTCATCCGCTGTATCGGAGCATGCCTGCCGACCAGCTCACGAAATAAAATAAATATTCTCAGCTATAGCGCTCAGCATTTGAAACACTGTGCGCATTACAACGTACACGCATTGTAATATATTGCTAAGAATCCATAATACTTCAATCCGAATGTGTTGATCTGTAAGAGCAGACTTTGGCGGTTAGGTGTTAACTATGCAAACGCTTAGAGATCTGGCAGAAGGAAGGAAGCGTCGGCGAGGTGACATCAACGGCACTGGTTGTGATGACCTCTTGACCTTGTACATGTAGGGCAGTGTTCTTCATCGCAAGGCCCTCGGGCCACTGGTGGCCCCCTCGTGGCCTTTGGTGCGGCCCCTAATGTGCCGCCCGCGACAATAGACAACACGTAGCAACACTCCACACCATCATCGTGCTGCCATCAAACCCCCAATGGTGTCAAATGTGTGGTGGCACCTCACACTGATGATGTCTTATCGGCGAAAGTGGCCTCCTCTGAAAATTAGTGAAGAACACTGACATAGAGTATTTATAAAATGTCATCATGTGCTGTGGCTATCTTATTCTATCGTATGGGCATCGCAACAGGATCCGTAAAACACTGGACATGTGTGAAAACGAGCTTCATAGCTCATCGGATTCCTCCGGTATTCATAAATATTCTGATACCTGAACCGATCCTGTGGCCTCCCCCTTCACACCAATCGGCACTGACCAGCATGATGAAGTATGGTCACACAAACCCCAGTGACTGACAAAAACGGAGGGTGCCATCATCTTATCCCATAGCGCAGAGCTTCGCAACTAGTGTACATCAGCGAAGTCCCAGATGTGCCGTGGTATTCTCGAAATTATAGGAAAAGAAAGAGGGTTACTGCATGTGTGTATGTTGAGCTAATTTTGCACCGTACGTAACCAACCGTGCTAATCGGCGGTGCGGGGGGAAAGATAACAAACTAAATACCAAAAACAGTTATAAAGAAACTGAGTTGTCAATCTAGATGATGATTTAAAAGTGCACAGCTCCAGGGGGGGGCTTCCTAATATCGGAAGGAAGAGCGTTCCAGACGGCCGCAGAAGGTCACCTGAAAGCACCGCGATGCGGTGACCGTCACCGTTCGCAAGCGAGAGCAGACGAACTCTCCTCCGTGCCGTTCAGTGGCCGATCCGAGCGCCGCACCCAGGCTCCCATTGGTCGTGGCGCGGCACGACAGCCGGCCGTCAGCCCCCACCCCCAGCCCACGTGTGCGGTAGGCGAGGCACTGAGAATTCTCTCTCAGTCGCAACGCATTCCCCCCACCCACCCAGCTGGGCCCACAGTGAGGTTTTGGTTCGGCGTGTGCCGCGAAGAGCGAGCGAGCTCGGAAGCAGTGAGTGTCGTGGGATGAACACATGTTGAGAAGTGCCGCAGTTTTGGACTGACAAAAGGGCTCTAGATTCATCATTCATACATTTTATAAACTCCGATTCAGCACAGTTGGCTACCGACGGTGCGAAATAAAAGAAAGCTGTCTCTGGTGTGGACGAATCAGTTTCAAACACGGTGCATATCTATAATTATCAGCATTTTTTGTTAGCATGTTCACCACAAGTACGTGTGGTTAATGCAGACAAGATGAATTGAAACAGGATTCTGTTTGGTGTTTTAATATCTTACCACAACTGTTTTATTGCCAGAAAGGATAAACCCCTATTGTTATATTGCGAAATAAGTGCAACATACAATAATAAAAGCTTGTAATCTCTTGCTCTCTTCCTGAAAGGAGAATATCAAACACTTAGTGGTTTCACCCAGCGGTCTTTTGCCACGATTACAATTTTTTTTCCCCTTTGTTTATTGCGTCGGTCCCAGATCCCTCTAGCGAGGGTGGCTGCGATGTTCGGTCTGGTACCTGCAGTGGGGGGACCCATGAGGCAGCCAAAGCCCACGAAGAACATCGAGAGGCCGAAGGCGCTGCGAACCCTCTGCACGCCCAGCAGGTCCACCTGGCGGAGGAGACACGGACGCACGCACCCTCGATCACCGTCATCATCATCATCATCGTCAATCATTCTTTAACCGCCGGCGGGATTGAGGCATCCCCAAACCTGTTTGCTCATTGTGCTGGGATTCCAGTGATCAGTTTGTTTGTTCCAATAAGGGTATTGTTCTTCTTGCTCGTGACCTGCCACATATGCAGTGATCTAGAAGCATGTCCTTTAAATTATTTAGATGATTCTGCGGGTTTAACGGCACATTAGCGGGTTTCACGACACATTTATATATTTACGCGATCTAACCCAAAAGACCTGTATTATGGATGATTTTGCTGCTATAAATTTCCACGTGAAAATCCACTTCGTTGAGCTATCATTTGTGGCCAGGTCACAGCTGAAAAAGAAGCCAATAGCTCAGTGGGCTTCACCTGGTAAGATAAGAAATAGTTTCGTTTTATTAGCATATTTTAGTTTAAAGCGATTTGTCTCCATTTCTTGTACTTTGCACTCATATCGTGTGTTTGTGCTGTTTGTTGTTACAACGTTCTGACCCGCTCCCACTGGACATCTGTGATAACAGAACTTTATAGCTCATTGGATTCCTACAGTCTCAATACGGATTCTGATTCTGTAGATTATCAACGCACATTCTTCTCATCTCGATGAGGGCCTCTCTTCAACCATCGTTGCCCACAAAGCCGCCTCTCTTGTATTATTGTAACCAAATCTTTAACCATGAGCTGAGTAAAAAAACAAACACGACACATTGGTCAACAACACCGTGGCATTAGTAGGGAAAATATATATAATCAGTGATATGCCGGGAAAAGGCCAATTTTTCTCGAAATGTCGCCTATTTCATATTTTTCAGATTGTTGAGTTGTTGTTGTTTGTGCTTGTGCACCACCGCCAATGCAGTATCACCAAATAATCTGTCGAACTTTAGTGGAGCACTTTTTAAATCACCAACGAGATGAATATCCCATTAAGTGCCATGTTGGGGAATTTAGTAACAAAAAACTAAATAATGCAAATTCGATATGACAACGTTTCCATAATCTTAGTTCTTTCGGTAAAGTCACGTTGGTAAAAAATGAAATAAAAATTAATAAAAATAAAAACAATAAAATCACGACGTTTCCACGTCCTCTAAATCAAATATTTACTACTCCTGTACACTTTGTCGAACGCTGCCATTTAAGTTACTAAATAAACTACGCGAGACATTGCTTCATTATTGTTTGATAGTTCTGATTATCGGGACACGTGTTGTAAAAAAACAAGAAAATCACAGCAAGCGTTGCCACTCGCGGCCGCTTTCGAGAAGCAAATGACACTTTGGAAAACGGTAACGATGCTGAACGCACTTGAGAACGTACATACATTGGTTTGAATAAGCCGAGTTAGTTCTCTTAAAGTCCTCGTTGGAGTTGCCCGCTCGTTTGAGGTCGCTTAAAAACGAGGAGAGTTATTTCTTAACACGGTTGTTCCATCCATACCTGTCAACCCCTTATCATTGCCCTACCTTATTACCTACCCATTCAGACCTTATTGGTCACCCCGTGCCCTTATAAATCTCAACGTTCATCCTACCAAGTCCCATCACAAGGGAGAAACACAAAGAAATAAACAAAAGCATGTGTTGCCCGTATTGAAACGGCTATACGCCGTACGGACCTGAAAACTCAATTTCCCAGTACAAGAATACGGTCTAAACCGCGAAGGCTTGACACGGTACGTGGCCTGCACTCCGTTGTTCTATCGTCTCCTTGGGACGCCGCCGCTTGTTTCCACTAGGGGGGCGCGAATATTCACCAAAAGCAGCAGCGGCACTTTCTAGCAAGCACTGCGTAACGCAGTCTTGGTTGGAACAAGCCCCATCGCTCGCCCTGCGCTCACGTCCAAGTCGCACGCAATGCGGTCGCATCGCACGCGCACTCGTCAACGTATGGACAGCACATGCGAGTCCACGCGAACACACAGAGCACATGCAAATACATGACACACACACACAAAGATCCCCCGAATAGCATTAATAAACTGTTGGGGCAAGTGCTGTTAGCGAGTAGCACCTATGAAGGCCGGCACGGCACACGATGGGTGTGGGTGGCCAACACCAAGCACGGCCGCCTTTGTCTCCCCGGTGGCGATGTTTACACACCGCACCAGGTACTCATTTGAGGCCGAGTCGACCTAGGGGAGGCCCAGGACCGGTTCAAATAATCGTCACACTGGTGTTGGCCGTGAACGGAAATCGAACCCGGGTCGCCGGGTTCGTAGCGCAGCGCGCTAACCGCGACACCACCGCTCCCCACGTAGCAAGTGAAAACACACGCGCACGCGATCACCATGATCCCTTCTGCCTTCCTTCGGTTGGCTGCCCTTCCAGGCCCCCTGGCATCCGTGTCATGTGGGCGACTGGGAGAGAGGGGCACGGCCGTGCTCGGGGGGGGGGGGGGGTCATCGTGGCCACGGGCTTCTTCGTGTCTGTGCTCGCGCAGAGTGAATCGAACTGAAGCTCGCGGGCAAACACACAACCAGCGGGACCCGACTGGGAAATGAACCCATGGTGACCCACTCGACGGAGCCAGCATCTGGAAGCAATGTTCTTCCCCCGCGAGCAGAGCTTCTCGTTCCTACATTAGATGTTGATATTTCGTCCTGTATTCAACAATTGCTTTTTTTTATTACAAGGGAAAAATCTATTCGGTTAAGTGAAGATAACTTTGGTTCAGCAGGAGTAATAAGCATTGTCATTAATCATGTTCTTATCCACTGCTGGATAAAGGCCACCCCAAAACCGTCGACGGCACTTCGCGGTGGAGAGATGTTCATTACCTCGCCTGGTATGCAGGAGGTCGTTGGTTCGATCCCCACCCTGATGCCTGTATGTTTGGAGTTTGCGTGTTCTCCACCGTGGTCACGTGTGGATTTTTGTTCTCCGGGTTCGATGATTTTTCCCTTCACATTTAGAATCACCACGCGTTTAGAGTATTTGGCGGCTATAAGTTTCCCCACGTGATACGCCACTTCGTTGAGCTATCAAGGGTGGCCAGGCCGTTTCTGAAAAAGAGCTACGGAGCTTAGTGGGCGTTACCTGGTAACATTAAAATAGTTTACATTTAGAAAAAATTAAAGCTCCTTGCACGCCAGTTGGATCTCATTGCTCTGCGTGTCGTTTACTGATGCAATCTCGGGCCCGTTTCCCTCCTTCGGCTGCCACTCCGCCGCGCGTCTCGACCACTGGACATCAACCATTCGAGCTTAGTGTCCAGCTCAAAACCAATTCCTTTAAGTCAAAATGACGTCTCCAGCTCGTGTTTGTTATCTGATCCGTGTGTTCCCTCTTTTCGTCTCAGCATAATTACAAGAATGGGTCTTTTTTTGTTGGCTTGTATTTTTGTTGTTGTTCGAGAATGTTTGTTTCTTTTGCTCGGTCAGTGTCCATGCTTCATACGCGTGTGTGACGTCAAGTAATATACAGTAGAGTACACTGGATAATTATCCCTCGCTTGGCACATTCTATTCTTGCTTATGATGGCAAATGTCATCAGCAGGGATTCATCTTCTTGGTTCTTTCGGTAAAGTCACGTAGAAGGGAAATAATAAAATAATAAAAAGAAAACATAATAAAATACAATTCTCACGACGTTTCGGCCACAACGCAAGCAGCCATCGGTGTGGCCGAAACGTCGTGAGAATTGTATTTTATTATGTTTTATTTTTATTATTGTATTATTTCCCTTCTACGTGACTTTACCGAAAGAACCAAGAAGATAAGCCCTCTCCTTGCGTATAACTTTACGTTTCAACAAGAGCCTCCTCTTTAAGGTCGGTGAAGTCTGTGGGCGATTTCTGGGCCCTTCGCTTCTGTGCCCCCCCCCACCCCCCAGGATTGTGGAACTCTCTGCGCCGAAGGCTGTCACGGAGGCGCGCTTCAGCTGGGTTCTACAAAACAGCGACAACAAAAATAATGTCTCCTTCAGAAGGATTTCTTGAGTCAATTTCACGGACAGAGCGAAACGGAAGAAGGCCGCAGTCGCCAACGTCTCTGCGATCGGACATGGCACATCGTGAGACAGGGATACACATTCTCTCTCATGCTGACAGTCGCTATGCGTAACACAATTCACGTTCAATTAATTTAATAAGGAACAATCAACGAGAAGAATAGGCATCCCTCACAGGCTGACCATACTACGCTGCATTCAAGGTAATTACTCCGCTGGTGTATATCGTGCATGGCAATCATCGCTCCCTACTGCGAACATTTGGCGTGACCCACTGAGTCATGAGACTCGGGTAATAATGATAAACAATACCACGCGTTCTAGATTTGAAGCTTTCGTGACTGCAAGGATTCATATTCTTAGGTTTTTTCGGTAAAGTCACGTAGGTAAAAAATTAAAATTAATAAAAGTTAAATAAAATAAAAATAAAATAAAAATCACGACGTTTCGGAGGCAGCACAAGCTTCCGTCTTCAGGTGGAACCGTCACAGCACGCTTGCTGTATCAAGTAAATGAGACATTCTCATTTACGTGCTGTGACGGTTCCACCTGAAGACGGAAGCTTGTGTTGCCTCCGAAACGTCGTGATTTTTATTTTATTTTTTCATTTTACTTTTATTAATTTGAATTTGAATTTTTTACCTACGTGACTTTACCGAAAAAACCTAAGAATATGAAAACCACGCGTGTTAACCCTCCACAACCACTTGGGGAATGTGAGACTGGGCAACGTACGCCACCTGCTGAAAGGTCGCGCACCACGTTGCCACTGAGTTGTCTGTCTCTCGTTTGATTCTCAGTGACGCTTGTAACAAATAAAAATCGTTATTGTGAAAATGATGACGACACATTGTCTATCCAGGAAAGCCTCAGTGACTCGCAACTCTCCGCGCCAATTGGGTCATTGGAATATGTGACCACTTCCGATAACGGGGGTTTATCACTCCTGGAGGAAATCAGAGTACCCACATAGATAAAAGCCCACCTCCTGGTCTCCTC